CAAACGCTAGGAAAAATTTGGAAAGAATACAAATACATGCAGGTTAAACAATACGCTACCAAAAAAGGAACAGGTTAACCAGGAAATCAAAGAATATAAAAACAAACATAGAAACGAATGATTATTAAAACACAATGGTCCAAAACCTTTGGAACGCAGCAAAAGCAATCCTAAGAGGGAAGTGTACAGCAATACAAGCCTACCTCATGAAACAAGAAAAATCTGAAACCACCTAACTTTACAACTGAAGGAGCAAGAAAAAGAACAAAGCCTAAAGCCAGAAGGAGGAGGAAAATAATAAAGATTAGAGCAGAAATTATTGATATAGAAAATAAAAAAATAGAACAGATCAATCCAGGTGCTGCTTCCTTGAAAAAAATGGTAAAATTGATAAAACCCTAGCCAGACTTATCAAAAAGGAAAGAGAAAGGACCCAAATAAAATCACAAATGAGAGAGGATAACAACCAACATCCCAGAAATACAATTATAATAGTATGAAAATTATATCCCAACAAATTGGACAATCTGGAAGAAATGGGTAAATTCCTAGAAACAAACAACCAAAACTGAAGCAAGAAGAAATAGAAAACTTGAACCAGCAAAGAAATTGAATCAGTAATCAAAAATCTTCCAACAAACAAAAGTCCATGGCCAGATGGCTTCCCTGGGGAATTCTACCAATGAAAAAGAAAAAAAAAATGTAGGAAGACTTCCAAACTCATTCTATGAGGCCAGCATTATCCTCATTCCAAAACCAGAGACTCCACTAAGAAAGAACTACAGGCCAATATCACTAATGAACATAGATGAAAAAATTGTCAAAATACTAGCAAATCAAATCCAACAGTACATTAAAAGGATCATGCACCACAAAGCAAGTGGGACTTATTCCTGGGTTACAACAGTGGTTCAATACTCAAATATCAGTCAATGTGATCCACCACATTAATAAAAGGCTAAGAACCATATGATCCTCTCAGTAGATGTACAAAAAGCATTTGACAATGTACAACATTCATTCATGATAAAAACCCTCAACAAAGGAGGGTTAGAGGGAACATACCTCAATATCATAAAGACCATATATGAAAAACCCACAGGTACTATCACCTCACTGGGGAAAAACAGCTTTTCCTCTATGGTCAGGAACAAGACAGGAATGTCTACTCTCACTACAGTTATTTAACATAATTCCAGAAGTCCTAGCCTCAGAAATCAGACAACAAAAAGAAATAAAAGGCATCCAAACCAACAAGAAAGAAGTCAAATTTTCACTCTTTGCAGATGACATGATACTCTGTATGGAAAACCCAAAAGACTCCACCAAAAAACTGCTAGACCTGATACACAAATTCATTATAGTTACACAAAAATCCATGTACAAAAATCTATTGCATTTCTATACATCAATAATGAAGTAGCAGAAAGAGAAACCAAGGAACCGATCCCATTTACAATTACACCAAAAACTGTAAGATACGTAGGAATAAAGCTAACCAAAAGAAAAAAGATCTGTATTCTTAAACTATAAAACACTGATGAAAGCAAGTCAAGAAATGGAAAGATAGTCCATGCTCATGGACTGGGAAAAACAAACATTGTTAAAATGTCCACATTACCCAAAGCAATCTATACATTTAATGCAATCCCTACCATAGTATCACCAGCATTTTTCAGAGCTAGAAACAACAGTCTTAAAATTTGTATGGAACCACAAAAGATCCCCAATAGTCAAAGCAATCTTGAAAAAAAGCAAAGGTAGAGGCATCACAATTCCAGACTTCAAGTTGTATTACAAAGCTGTAGTGATTGAGACAGTATGGTACTGGCACAGAAACAGACACATAGATCAATGCAACATAACAGAAAACTCAGAAGTGAACTTGCAACTATATGGGCAATTAATCTTCAACAAAGCAGGAAAGAATATCCAATGGAAAAAAAAAAAAAAGATAGTCTCTTAAACAGTGTCAGGAAAGCTGGACAGCAAGATGCTAAAGGATGAAACTGCACCACTTTCTTACACCATACGCTAAAACATATTCAAAATGGATGAAAGACCTAAATGTGAGATAGGAAACCATCAAAATCCCAGAGAACACAGGCAGTAACCTCTCTAACCTGAACCATAGCAATTTCTCACTAGATAGGTCTCCTGAGGCAAGAAAAAAAAAAGCAAAAGTAAGCCATTGGGACTTCAAAATAAAAATCTTCTGCACTGCAAAGGAAACAATCAACAAAACTAAAAGTCAACCTACGGAATGGGAGATGGTATCTGCAAATGACATATCTGATTAAGGGTCAGTATCCAAGATCTATTAAGAACTTATCAAACTCAACATGCAAAAAAAATAATAATTCAGTTTAAAAAATGGGCAAATGACATCAGTAGACATTGCTGCAAAGAAGACATATGTCTAACAGACACATGAGAAGATGCTCAACATCACTCATCGTCAGGGAAATGCAAATCAAAACTACCGTGAGACATCACCTCACACCTGTCAGAATGGCTAAAATTAACAACACAGCAAACAACAGGTGTTGGTGAAGATGCAGAGAAAGGGGAACCCTCTTATCCTGATGGTAGGAATGCAAACTGGTGCAGCCACTCTGGAAAAGAGTATGGAGGCTCCTCAAATGTTAATAGAAGTACCCTATGATCCAGCATTTGTACTGGTATTTGTCCAAATATCTACCCAAAGAATACAAAAATATTAATTCAGAGGGATACATGCGCCCTGTTTATAGCAGCATTATTCACAATAGCCAAATCATGCCAAGAGCCCAAATGTCCAACTGATGGATAAAGAAAACGTAGTATATATACACAATGGAGTATTACCCATTAAAAAGAATGAAATCTTGCCATTTGCAAAGACATGGATGGAGCTAGAGAGTATTATGCTAAGTAAAATAAGTCAGTCAGAGAAATACAAATACCATGATTTTACTCATAGGTGGAATTTAAGAAACAAATGCACATGGGACAAAAAGAGGCAAACGAAGAAACAGACTCGTAACTATGGAGAACAAACTGAGGGTTACGGGAGGGGAGTTGGAGGGGGTTGTTAAACAGGTGATGGGTGTTAAGGAGGGCACTTGCTGTGATGAACACCGGGTATTCTATGTAAGTGATGAATCACTAAATTCTACACCTACAACTAACAATGCACTGTGTTAATTAGCTGGAATTTTAATAAAAACTTGGGAAAAAATTAAATAATGATCTTATAGCAAAACCTTCAAAACAATTCCATGATTAAGAATTCCTCATCTGAACCACAGAACACAGATAATTATCATCATGTTACTATTTTCTGAATTCTCCCAAGAATGCAGTACAAGACTGTTTAATTCATTACATACGGTGAATGCCTTAGGGTGGTGGTTCCCAAACTGCAGTGTGCATTAGGATCACATGGCAGAGATGTTGAGACACAAATTGCCAGGGCCCATTCCCACAGTCTCTAATTAAGTAAGTCTGAGGTGGAGCCCCTGAATTTGCATTCTAACAAGTTCCAAAGCACACCGATGCTATCTGGGAACCACACTTTGAGAAACAGTACCTCAGTGCATTAGCACTTAATTCTCCAGCAAAAAAATGCTTCTCTGATGTGCAGAACATGAGATCATATTCAATTTCTCTTCTAAAATATATTAGGAAAAATGATAGGTGATAACTCCAAGTGTTTAAAGATGGATGAATAATTTCAGGAAATAAGGTAGATGTTGTCTAACTCTACAACATCTAGGCTATAAAACACAGTATTTGAATAAAAAATTGGAGCATTAAAGGAGGGCACGTGATGTAATGAGCACTGGTTATGATATTAAACTGATGAATCACCGCACTCTACCCTTAAAACTAGTAATACACTATATGTTAATTGAATTTAAATAAAATTTTAAAAAATTTATGATAGCTTAACAATGATATGGCCATATACAGGTAAATTCCAATACACCAAATTCATTATTTTAAGAAAACAGTACAAACCACAGCAGACTATTCATATCATTTAAATGGATTCTTATTTACATCATCTCATTTTAAAACTAACCAATCAAGATTCATTCAATTTATTATGTATGTGACCACCTTCTATCCAAGGTAAGAGGCATTTCTGTATTATAAATGTCAATATTCCTATTACCACTACCTTCATGTTCTTAAAAGTCCATCTATTCCAAACTCTTCACTGATCGTTTAACATCAGCCGAACAGTGAGTTAGTTTTAACTTATTTCACTGAGAAGTTTCTCATAAGCAAAATATCTAATAATCGGTAACTATTTAATCCATAAATTTGCAATAAATGTCAGCAAAAGGTCCCAAAGCATTTTCAAAACAAAAAAAAAATTTCTGAACACAAATTGATTATGTGAGACTTTAGAAGAAGTTAGCTTGTGAATTCAAATGATAAAGGTATCTACAGCTGTGCAAGAAACTTACCACACAGGCCTTAAATGGTTAGAAAGACTACCCTTCCACCTGGATATGGGAAATTGGCTCTTGTAGTTTTCTCAGTGAACAGTTAAGTGTGGTTTAACTATGCTCAGACTACTTGCATAAACAACATTGCTCATGTTAGACGCCTGCTTTTCTTCTGGGAATCTGAAGCTTTTGTACATGCTGAGGCAGGGGTTGCCTATGTGACCAACCCCAAAAACACCTTGAACCCCAGACTCTAATGGGCTTCCCTGAAGAGAGCCATCACCCACATGTCGCTAAGTTTTCATTGCTGGTGGAGAGGGGAAAAGAGGATGCTTTGTGTGACCCCTCAGGGGAAGATAAGAACCTAAGCAAGAATACACATGAATTCTCCCAAACCCTGCATGCGTTTCTCCTGTGACTCAGCTGTGAATCCACTCTACTTCACTGTTAGCAATTTTAACTTGAGTCCAACTATACATGGAATCTTCCAGCAAATCTCCAAAAAGAGGAGTATTCTTATGGACCCCCAACATAGCCATTTTCAGAAATCAGGATTCTTACCTGCTGATATGCTTCATAGATCACATCAAATAGAAAAGCCTGTGGCATTTCACTTGCTCTGTGTCTGGCACGTTCTAGTGAATGGTCTAAGCAACCATCAGCAGATGGACTGATTACAGTGGACACAAGAGGTCGAATTGCTCCTGCTGCCTAAAGAACAAATAGAGATCCAGTTAACATTTATTTCACCTAGAACCTATTTCAAAGTTAAACCCTGACCTCTCGCATTTTGGGGAGATTTTAGTCCTAGCTTTAACAAGCAACCTCAAGAAAATATTTGAACAAGTGCTGATTTGGTTCTTAAAGCAGTATTTCACTATCAAAAACCCTCTTTCTCAATATTACAGTTCCATGAGAGATTCTTTTTTCCATTATAGGTTCACAAATTCTTTTGCTCACTGGCCATTGAAATCTAATACTAGATCAGAATGCTAAGATCCAAGGGGTATTCCAAGAAGGTGGAAGGGGAAAGGAAGAGTAACTGTGGAAAAAATGGACACAGGACACATCAATATTTATTAGTGTGCCTTCAAAAGTTTTACTTTCAACACAGATAATTAAGGCAACAGATCTAGTCCCAAAGACCCCCAAAATGAGACTGAGCCTAAGTAACAAAGAATTTATGTCTCACTCTAATTCCTGTGAACAACCATTCCTTCCAAACCATCTTAGAACAACATTCCCTCAGGTAAAGTAGCCATTGATTTTAATTGCTCTGATAAAAGCTGTCGCCCCTATAGATGCATCTCAACATCACACAAAGGTACCTTCATACCTGACAATTTATCCCCTTTATCTTCAGTAGTGTTTCATTGTAGTCTTGAAAGTCATTACCAGACAACTCTTTTGGAGAAGTGCCTTTAAAATACAGTTCTCCTGTGGTCGGCCATTAACCAAACCTCCTCTATAAGTTATCTTCCACGTAACAAACAGATAGATATTACAGCCCAAACCGATGAGTCAGCCAATTTGATCTTGAGAAGAACAGTATCTGTACAAGATAGATAGCATAAACTAGCTTATAAAATCCCAGAGACTGGCTGAAAATCAAAGCTAATATGTGAGCCAAGTAGACAGTTTATAAACTGTCACCATTTCCAGTGACTCAAGTAGAAGTTTGGAGCCTAGAAATAAAAGCAAAAACGAGAAGACCACCAGGGCTGATAGGGAGGGAGTGATGTCCAACTAGATAGATAAAGAAGAAAACCCAATTGGTCAAGCCAATTGGTCAGGTGTCAAGCCTGACACCTATCAATAAAAGAAGACAAAAGAAACAGATTTGCATGCGTACATACACATACAGCTTTTTAAGGGAAAAGTTCTATTTATATTGCAACTATGTATAGGTAATACTGGAATTCTATACCAGGCCATGAAGCAAATCCATCAAAAAGAGAATGAGTCACAAAGTGTCAGCATGAGGACTTTAGCAGACTTTCTCTCCAGCAAAAGAACTAGTGAAAAATATTTTACAACAACCATTTAAAATCCTTGAAGGGCATGCACCAGATGAAACATTTTTTTTAAGAGTATCAACTAAAATTTGGTAAAAACAGAGCCTGTGGGACTCAAGTCATGATCTATTTCTCCCTTAATCATCCACGCAGCTCAGTGTGACTGAGGTTCCACTAAGTATGGCTGAAAAGATGGGGCTTTCCTCTCCCCCTATCACCCAGTTCAAAGGACAGAGGGCTAGCATTTCCCATCCTACTCAGCCCCAGGTCACAGGGGCTAAATTAAAGCCTACTGTGGACAAGAGATTGGAGACTCCCTTCCCGCTACATAGCCTTCACTACCAAGTGGAATATCTACCCCAGGCAAAGTAAACACGGAATGTATACTGGGCCCTGAACACCCTTAACCCCCAATCTCACATAGGGCAGAGGTTTCACACCAAGAGAAGCATAACAAAAAGGTAAGAGTCTTCAAATATCTCCATGGACCACTCTGCTCATGAAGTAGGAGTGTCACTCAGAAAAACAAGATATCATGCCCCACTGAGTAGCAGTGTGGTGATTTTTTACAGGGAGAGAGACAGGCTGTAAGAACAGAACTATCAAGTTCTCCCAAAGGGAACTCACCTTGCATGTAACTGACTGTGACCAAGTTTAAACCTAAGTGCAGTTGCAAAAGAAATGGAGACTATCATGCTAAGCAATTAAGAGGAAGGTGGTAGCTAGCTACAAGACAGCATAAAGCCCAACTGTTGGTAAGCAAGTTTACCAGAGATAACCAGAGAGAGAGACAAGTAACAACAGCCCCCCTGGAATCAGAGCAAACTTCCAATACTGACCTCAAAAACTACCCTTGCCATGAAGCCAAAGTTAAATTGAATCAGATTATAGAGCATTTTATAGCTCGGGTATTGTAAGAAAGAAAGACAAAGAGCGAGAGCGAGCGAGCGAGCGAGAGAAAGAGAAAGGAGAGAGAGAAAGAGAAAGAGGGAAAGAGAAAGAGAGACAGAGAGACAGAAACAGAGAGAGAGAGAGAAAGGGAGAGAGACAGAAAGAGACAAAGAGAGAAAGCAAGCAAGCAAACAATTGCAGGCAATGAATAGAGTTTATCAGTTGAGTGTGGTATCACAGACAGTAAGAGATTAACAAAAAAAGGCAAAAGAAACCCTACTAAACTTTCATTCCAGGCTGGCTACATTCATGCCCAAGACTGCATCCTCTGTATAGTGACTTTAGAGACTTCACTGGGGAGGGCGAAACAAGACTTCACTGAAATAGAGCAGCCAAGTCACATACAACAGTAACAGTAAGTTCTGAGGAAATGGGAGGGAGACTATCACCATCTAGAACTGATACTAACGGTCTACCAACCAATGAATGGAAAAAGAACATGTGCTACATATATCCACAAGGAAGTATTTTTCAGCCATAATGAAGTTGCTTCAACAAAGTAAGTATTTTCAACAACAATATGGATGGACTTCAAGGGCAATGTGCTAAGTGAAGCAAGTGAGAGAAAAACAAATACCTTATGATCTCACCTATATATGTAAAGGCTAAAAGATACAACAGATTGGTGGCCAGAAGTGGGGGGACAGAGATGGGCAAAATGGATGAGAACAGTCAAAAGGTAAAACTTCCAGTGACAAATTAAGTCCTGGGGATGTAATGTACAGCATGGGCTATAATTAATACTCCACAGTATCAAGTTGCTTAGAGATATTAAAAATCCTAAGGAAAGGACTCTGTAACTATGGTGACAGATGTTAACTTATTTTGGTGATCATTTCACAATGTAAACAAATGTTGAAACCTTGTGTTGTACAACCGAAACTTATGTTTATCAATTATACCTCAAAAAAATCTGTCAAAAAACTTACATGTGAGAATTTCAAAACCGTGGAAGGTGAACATACTAATAATGAAACCAAGAAGAAATTAGAGAAACAGAAAATACTGAGATGAAAAGATACAATATGAAACACAGCATGCAGCTGAAGCAGTTGTAAGAGGGAAATTTATAGCTGTGCATGTCTATGTATAAAGACATTCTCAAGGCCAAAACCTTCTACCTTAAGACTTACACTCCTATCTTAAGATTTTTGGAAAAACAACAATAACAACAACAACAGAACACCCTCAAATTAAATCAAGTGTAAGTAGTAAATAGAGATTAGAATAGATGAAGTAGAGAGTATAAAAAAGAGGGGGGGGATCAATATCCAAAGTCAGTTCTTTGAAAGAATTAACAGGATTGACAAACCTTTAACTTGATGAACCAAGTGGGGGAGGAGATTCTAATTAGTGAAATCAGGAATCAAAGTGGTGTTTCTACCAACCTCCCAGAAATAAGGAATTTTCAACAAATTACATGAAATTTCTGTTTCCTAGAAAGGCATTAACTCCAAAAACTGATTCAGTAATAGACAATTTGAATAGACCTATAACAAGTATGAAAACGGAATTAGAAATTTTTATTTCGCACGAAGAAAATCAAGCAACATAAATGAATAAAACAAAAAAAAAAAAAAAAAAAAGAAAGAAAGAAAGAAAGAAAAGAAAAATCTTCAATACCAATTCCTCACATTATTCCAAGAAGTAATATAGGAGAGAATGCTTCCTAACCCACTCTTTAAGATGAGTACTGCCAAAACCAGACAAAGGCATCACAAAAAAGTACAACTACAGACCAAAACCCCTGATGAATACAGATGCATAAATCTTCAACAAAATACTAACAAACCAAATTTGGCAATAAGTGTTACATACCATAACCAAGTGGGATTTATACGATGAATGCAGAATTGATTCAACATACCCAAAAATATCATTGTCATTTCTCACATTAAAGGGCAAAAAAACCCAAAAACACTCCAACAGATGCAGAAATAGCATCTGACAAAATGCAACGCTCCTTCATGAAAAAAGCATTCAACAAAATTAGGAACAGAACTTGCTCTAGCCAATAAAGGGCAACTTTGAAAAACCCACAGGTAACATCATATTTGATAAACACTATTTTCGCCTTAATATCAGGAACAAAAATATATCCACTGTGACCACTTCTATTAAACATTGTACTGGAAGTTCTAGTCAGGAAAATTAGGCAAGAAAAAAACAGAAGGCATCCAAAAGGAATTAAACTATCTGTATTTGCAGATAATATTTTATAGAAAATCCTGATGAATTCCCTTTAAAAAACTAGGAATAAACACATTTGGCAAGAAGGCACAGGACAAGACCAACAAAAACAACAAAATCACTTCTATCTCTGTACTAGCAATGAACCATTCAAAAAGAAAAAATTCATTTACAATAATGTCAGAAAGAAAACACTTAATGTGTAACAAAAAAGTTAAAAATTTATTCCGAGAACTATAAAAATTCCCAAGCTCCTGTGCAAAAGCCAGCATCTCTATCTACTCACTGGCCCCCATTCCTTCTCAAGTCTTTCTCTACAGCAACAGTCCCCCTCCCATCCTGCCCCATCAATTTTTATTCCTTTACTCAACTATCTTCATTAGTGTCCAGGCATTCTGTGACATCTCAAGTCAAGTCATTCCTCCTTTGATCACACCTATCTTCCAACTAGGACCAAATTTCTCCTAGTCAGTTTCAGACAAAAGTCTGTTGAAGAACTATCTGTACTACTTAGTATCTCCAATGTCTGCCTCCTCCCATGTTCTTTGCAATCTA